GTGGAGAGCCATATAGAAGAGGTTGGCAGAAGGGGAGAATTGATTGGTCACAGGGTCCAGACTTGGCTGACTAAAGCAGAAGAATTCATCAAAGCGGCAGAGGAACCTGTACGAGTTGGTGATGAATTTGCCAAGAAGGAGTGTTTCTTTCGGCTGTGTCCCAATCCCATTCCTCGTTACAAGCTCAGCAAGGAAGCAGAGAAGAATTTGCTGGATATTGTTCAACATCTGGAAGTAGCTCGTCAATTCGGGGGCCTCTCACTTTCCCACGCTCCTCCTCCACAACAGGACGTGGCTACACTTGTGGAAGGTTTTGAGGAGTTCCGCTCGAGAAAGATTGTCTTGGACCAGATCATGGAGGCACTAAGAAGTCCAACCGTTAACAGGATTGGAGTGCAAGGGACTTCTGGGATGGGGAAGACGATGCTTGTAAAAATGGTTAAAGCAAAAGCCAAGAAAGAGAGCTTGTTCACTGCAGTAGTTATGGCTACGGTGACGAAGGACTGGGAAGTGAAAACTATTCAAGAAGATATCGCACGCGACTTGGATGTGGATCGTCTTCCTTTCACAAAGGATACAGATCAACAAGTTGCAGATTCAATAAGGGGAAAGCTGAAGAAAGTGAAGAAATTTCTTGTTATTTTGGATGACGTTTGGGAGACTGATGTAGAACAACTTTCCAAGAAATTTGGAATCCCTTCTGAAAGTGAGATGAAGCAGGCTACGGAGACAAAGAATGAAGAAAGCTCATCTGGACAAGAAGATATGCTCTGCAAGATTCTACTAACTTCCAGATTTCACCATGTTCTCTCTTCTATAATAGATGAGAAAGATCCGATCTTTGAGGTGCGTAAATTAGAAGATGATGAACCATGGCATCTATTCAAGAAGATTGTTGGCAGCAATATTGAAAACTCTGATTTTCAACCGAAAGCTAAAGAGATTGTTGAGAAATGTCTCGGGTTGCCTGTTGCTATTGTATCTGTTGGAAAGGCCATGAGAAGGAAGACTAAACAATTTGAGTGGGAAGCTGCTCTTACGGAATTAAAAAAGCCTTCTCCAGACGGTATATCTGCAGCTGTTTATAAGCCTATAGAGTTGAATTACAATAACTTAGAAGGAGAGGAACTCAAGAAAACATTCATTCTTTGTAGTTTTCTGGGCCGTAACTCTTCTATTGACGACTTGTTAAAATGTGTCATGGGCTTGGATTTATATCAAAAAGTGAACACAATAGAAGATACAAGAGCCAATGTACTGAACTCGGTTAGTCTTCTCAAACAGTCATCTTTGTTAGTTGATGGTAAGAGCAGTTTGCATTTTGATATGCACGATCAGATTCAGGAGGTTGCCTTATCAATTGCTTTTAGAGACCACGGTGGGTTAGCTTTAGTAGATGAGGCTGCGGGGAAAAAGTGGAAAGATAAGAAGTCATTAGAAAAATTGAAGTGGATTTCTTCGCCAAATGGTCATATTGAGCTTCCAGCCATTGAGTTCCAATGTCCACAGCTCACTTTCTTTTATCTGTCTAACAACGCTCAGTCTCTACAATTTCCATCAGAGTTCTTTAAAAAGGCAGATGGACTCCATGTCTTGTGTTTGACTAAAGTTGACCTTAAGTCAATGCCTTTGCCAATTCCCTTGATCCCAACAAACCTTCATTCCTTAATTCTAGATCAATGTGCGTTTAAAGTCGAAGGCCTCAGAGCCATTATGGGGAATCTAGTGAATTTAGAGGTCCTTAGCCTTGCAGGTTGTGATATTGAAGAGCTGCCAGGAGAAATAGAGAAGTTGAGCAAGTTAAAGTTGTTAGATGTGAGCAACTGCACCAAACTGAGAGTAATTCCGCGACAAGCCTTAGCGAGTTTGTCCAGATCTTTGGAAGAGCTAAAAATGGGAAACAGCTTCAACCAATGGAATGTGGGGGAAGGAAATGCTAGGCTTGATGAGTTAGCAGAGTTGCATAAGCTAACTGCTTTAGAGGTACGTATTCCTAATTTCCGACCAATTTTGTTCCCTGAAAATCTAAGAAGGTTCCAGATTTTCTTAGGAGAAGTATGGTACTTTTGGGACCGCTCTTTTGAAAGCTCAAAAAGAATGAAGCTAAAGCTACAGGGTGCAAGCATTAAATCTGATGAATCAGTTAAAAAGTTGTTGAAGAAGACAGAAGATCTGTCCCTACAGGGATTAAATGGTGTTGAGAATTTAGTTTGTGAGTTAGATGATGAAGGTTTTCAACATCTGAAGTGTCTCCATGTCCGAAATGCTCCAGACATTCAACACATCTTTAACCCAGCAGGGAGGTTGCTGCCTTCCCATGTCTTTCCCATCTTGGAGGTATTGACTCTTTCCAATTTGGAAAAAATGGAGAAGATGTGTCATGGTCTGACTGGAGCAGCACCTTTTAAAGTATTAAGAAAGATAACCGTTGTTCTTTGTCATCAATTGAAGAATCTATTCTCCTTCTCCATGGCCAGACAACTTCAACTTCAAGAAATAACAGTAGAATATTGCAACAACATGGAAGAGATTATTGATGACGTGGAGGAGCAGGGCAAAGGAAATGATATCGTTGAAGAAAGTGGAGGATGTAAGCTTGGCAACAATCTGCGGTCCTTAACATTAGCATCGCTAGCGAAACTGACTAGCTTCAACAGTGGTAATTGCAGGGGCATCTCACTTTTCAACGATGAGGTACTTAATTCATATCCTTTGTTTTATTTGCGGAAGAGTAATTAGAAAATATAAAAAATTAATCTTACTGTTCTTTTTTTTTTTTTTTAATGGAGATTAACTAGGTTTCAAGTTTGGGCTAGGTTCAATACTCAATAGCAGTCCAATAGTTTTTGCGTTTTACATTTTTATAAAATTTTTAAAGAGTTACTTTAAATTATTTTAAAAAGTGCAGATGGTTAGAAATATTTAAAATAAATATATATTACTCGTCAAAAAGCTGAAAAATATAGGAGTATCAAAAAGGACTCAACCTTCTTCTAATTTGATAACGGAGGGCACAAACTTTTATTTTATAGAAAAGTGTGGAATGCAATTTTTAAATCTATTGTGCTTGATTTAATTATAAAATTTTTTAATTTAATTTAATGATTTGAATTCACATGATTTGTTTAATTTAATTAAAATTTTGTAGAATTCATTTGTAATTATACACTTTTTATATACATATTTTTATTTTGACTTACATAACTAGATGCAACAATCTCTTAACTTATTATCCATTCCACTTCTTTTATTTTCATTGAAAAAAGATTATTATACTTGATATGATTAAAAAGTATGAAGTTCAATTCTAAATCTTTTAACCAAAATAATTCCTAAACATTTAAATAGGCTAATTCAAATTCTATCAATTTTAATGATTTCTTTTGATAAATAATTTTAATGAAATTTGGTAGTGAAGTCTATATTTTTAATGATTACTAAATACTCTTCCATTTTGAACTCTCTCACTCTCATTGAAAAATAATGAGGTTATTTTTTATTAAAAAATAATTAGAGTATGAAATACAATTAAATTCTACAAAACGTTTTTTTGTTCAAAATAAGTATAGGATTGAGTTTAATATAAAATTTTTCCTAACCCTCACTATTTGTGAAGTCGATGACCTGAATTAGTCTAACTAATTTCATGATTTATAAGTTTATAGTTAAATTCCACACTATTTAATTAAACCAAACATAATAAATATAGGTCAACAAAAAGAAAAACATAAGAAGCATAGAATTATAAATGACTTTCACAAAATTTTGATAAAATTAAACATAAGGGTATGAATTATGGAATTCAAATAATCAGAATTAAAAAGTTTTTAACCAAACTAAATACAATGATGGTATAGATTTAAAAATGAATTACACAATTTTTTCATGGAATTCATTTAAAACCAAATATTAGATGTTTGGATTAACAATTCAAATAAGCAAATAACAGATAAATGATATCTCATGATCCATAGTTATTATTGTATATAATTTAAATATATTTTTTAATTTAATTAGTCTAAACTACTAATTATTAATTTCAAATCTCTGTACTAAACACTCTTACAAGAGATAAAACAAAAACATGATAATATAATTTATTTGGTGCATACATATTAGAGATTAAATCTTAAACTTATGAATAAAGAATACATGTAACTCTATTATCAAACTACATCATTGATGGTATGTGATAATATACATCTATTCATCATACTACATCATGATTGTAAGTTTTCAATACCACTTAATATATGCCATGTAAGATTTTAAGCTTACAAAAACAAACTTATAATTATAATATATTAATAAATGAATAAATACATACAATAGTAATTATATTATAATATATGATGATTATAAATTTAGAATATTATGTAATATTATAAACTCATAATGTAAAACAATATAGTAGTAAAAGCTAATTATAGTGCTTACAAATTTGACAAGTCTGTTAAATGTGTTTCAAAATAGAAACAAAATGCATATAATACTTCTTTTAGTCATATTTAATTGTCTTAATTTATTTATTTATGATTGCTAAGGCTCTGTTTAGAATAAATGTAATTTTGAATGTTTGGATTAGTTTTCAAAAATTTTAAATCCTTAAAATAAAACTAAGAAGATTTATAAATTAATTAATTTGACATTTTAAGTATTAATTTTAAAAATTTATATCTAATACGTTGTTAATTTTAATTTTTAATGTTAATTTTTAAAATTAATTTTTAATTATTAATTTTAATTACAATTCCTTGACACTAAACTTAAAAAATTAGGAAAATATACTGCAATCTTCTTTTGACAGTAAAGAAAAATGTGGGAGAGGTGGTCTAGATCCATGTCCCACTCCCATGTGGATCCCCATCTATTGTTCCACTCACAAATTCACGCCAGCTCTTCCACACTACCACTTTGAACTTTGAAGTGGTAATGGAAAATAGAAACCAGTACTCTTAACTTGGAGAAACATGCATTCTTGTAAATTCAACTACAAACAAGTTACAAGTACTACTGATTTTTTATGTCAAAATAAAAATTAAAAAATAGGTTCTTAATTTAAATAAGTGTTTTAATAATTTCTTGACAAATATTAACTATATATATCTTTTATATTAGTCAACTTACTCCATAATTCAAATTATATTCTTTTTTTAAGTTGGCTAGCAATTTTATACTAACAGTTATACTACTTAAATCATTCCTATAATCTTCAATTTGTAGAACTTATATATATATATAATTTTTTTTCTTTTTTCCCTTTTTTTTTTGCCTTATATATCAAAAAATTAAATGAGAAGCTTTTCTTAGTAAAAAAATTAAATAAGAAGCATCTTTTTTTTTTTTTTTGCTCAAACAGTACTTGTATTCAAACCATCCATAAAAATTAATATTTTTCACATTTTCATTTTTTATTATATATCAAAAAATGATCAGTTTTGCTCAGAAAGGGAATTATATGTTGTGCAGTTTCTGTTTCCAAACCTAGAGGAGCTGCAATTGTCATGGATTAATGTTGACATGATATGGATAGCATCTTACTCATGTGTTGAGAACCTGACGAAATTGATAATTCGTGGCTGCGATAACTTGAAATACCTATTCTCATCCACTATGGCTAGAAGTCTAGTGAAGCTCGGACACCTTGAAATAAGGGAATGCAAGGTGATGACAGAGGTTCTTTCTAGAGAGAATGAAGAAGAAAAGCGGAATTTGATTTTCCCTGAGTTGAAATTTCTACAGTTAGGGCAACTCCAAAACCTTGTTAGCTTCTACTATGGAGATTCTACCATTGAGTTCTCATCCTTGAATGAATTGATTGTATGGGACTGCCCAGAGTTCAAGGGTTTCGCAGTTATGTCTACAAACATAGATGTTGCAGCAGGTATTCAACCCCTCTTCAACGAACAGGTATGTCTTCATTTCATTTGCATTTTGGCTTTAAACTTTGGGAGCTATCTAATTTTCTTTATCCTTTTTCTCTCAATGGCATAATGTGTTTTTTTCATTTTTCATTTTTTTTTTTTGTTTGTTCTTCACGAAGAAATGGATAGAAAATTAGGAAGAAAACGAAGAGCAGAACATAAACTGAAAATGGAGAGAAGTACAAGTACAACACTCCTTTCTACTTATCAACAAACTTTGCTTTATATCTAGCGGAAAAATAGTCTTAAAAACAAGGCAAAACTCATTCTGAAGCACCTAAACTTTCCCCATATTAACTTGTAGGACCCTGAATTATTTTTAAGTATATGAGCCCTTGAACCCCCCAATCAATGCAGATTACCCCTTCAGTTGACCGTCACTTGCCTGTTTCCACATTGCCTGTGTGGCATTCACTTTCCCATGTCAGGTTGGCCTTTTGAAGTTGCTTTTTTTATAGTGTTTTTTCTCATAGTATATCATAAAAGTATTAATTTATTAAAATTAAATTAATTTAATT